ACCATGGACAGTCTCACTCCTAAAACCCACCATCTAACCTGCCACACATCTACACTATTGCCCAATCAGATGGAGCCACCTGAGACGTGGGGAAGAAAACCTTTTCTTCCCCCACAATAGTAAAAAAGACGTTTATCAGTTTTCATAATAAATAGACAAAAATAAAAGACAATTACAAGCCTAACCTGATTAACCTAACAATATAAAATAATTACATACAATTTGGGGGGCGGGGTTCAAGCAGAGTGGCAGCAAGGAGATCCAACCAGTCCATCCTAAAGGAAATCAGTCCTGAATATTCATTGGAAGGACTGATGCTGAAGCTGAAACTCCAATACTTTGGCCACCTGATGCAGAGAACTGACTCACTGAAAACGACCCTGATGCTGGGAAAGATTGAAGGCAGGAGGAGAAGGGGACGAAAGAGGATGAGATGGTTGGATGGCATCACCGACCCAAAGGACATGGGTCACTGAGTGACTAAACTGAAGTGAACTGAAGCAGAGTGATGTAGTTAAGTAGAAGAGCATACATGCACATGTTTTCATCTGCCCAACCAGCCCATGTCTTTTGGGAAAGGCTCTGCTTTCTGATGTGAACCTCCCACTGCCTCCAAGATACAGGCAGTCATTTCAAGCCTAAATCCTGCTCTTTATTCCCACTGAAAAGGAAGCAGACCAGAACTTACCTAAACCAGCTAGGCCTCACCACACAGAACATGCACATACTGGTATGGGATCCAGGACCATTGGTGGAGGGAAATGGGAACCCTCTTCTTAGAACCCGACCTGAGCTCAGGCCCCTGAGTATGGGGTTCTTCTGGGTCCCAAAAACAAAGGGCCGGGAGAATGGCAGGTGAAGAGCCCCAAGACCCTCCTCAAATACAGAGAGGTGTGTGTGAGGGTGAGAATAAGTGAGGGATTGAACAACCTCCACTTGCCCAAAGTGCTTCTTCAGTCTCTGGAATGTGTAAGAAAAGGCAGGCTATGGAGGGCAGTGACCATGGAGGTGTGTCAGAGCCTCACGCACTTTTCCACATGCTGGGTAAGGCCTGCAGGCCCACCCCTATCCTCTGAACCAGGCTCCTCTCCTTTTCCCTGAGGACAGCTCGTCCTTCTCACAACTGGACCTCTGCCTGGTACCAGAGCCAGGTAACCTCGGGCGGACTGGCAAACCAGTCCTCTGTGCCTCTGTTCCCAGTGCAATCTATCTCTTACCAGTAGTGACTTTGGAAGAGTCACAACTTCCCTCTGCCTCAGTGACCTCATCACCCACTGAAGTCTGTACTTCCACTGAACAGGCTCTGGAGTAATTTTTTAATTTACTTTTAATGAGAGGATAATTGCTTTACAATATCCTGCTGGCTTCTGCCATGGAGTGTTTTTAAAAGCCTAATTCAGGTGATGTCCATCCTGTGCTCAAACCCTCCACCACTCCCAGCGCCGTAAGAAGGGAGGTACAACCTCTCATTTGCCACTCCAGGTGAGGCCTGGCCTCAAGCTTTCTTCCTGACAGAAACAAGCTGGACTCCGGTTCCCGGAATGGCTCTGCTTCAGTTGCGTCTCCAAGCCTCACTCACATGGAGAAAGAGAAACGACCTCTGAAGGTCTCGCTGCGCTGGCGCAAGGGTCTCGGGGTAGAGTGACGTGGACAGGCGCCTCTCAACCCTGGCGTTCTTAACTCTCTGTGCAAACAGGCAGGAGAGACCCCGGAGCATGCCTCGCTTACCTGAGGCGACGCGTCCCTCAGTGCAGGCGCCGCCAGCCATCGTAACTTCTGGGCGGAGTGAGGCAGTGAGGGTCGAGCTACCGGGTCCCACTCTGCATGGAAATTCCCCGCAGGCGGCGGTGTCCCCGACCCCCGGAACCGCCCAGGTTCAGGGTGCACAGAGCCTCGTCTTGCGCCTCTTGTCCCGTAAGCCCGCTCGCAACAGCACAAACCAGACCTTCTGACCAGCTCCACAAACCTCACCATAACCAAAACGGCCGCCACTTAGGAACCGGGAAGTCCCTCTCCAGGAGGTTCGCAATCAGGGAAAAGCCCCTGACTCGATTTTCAGTGGGTGAACATCTCTGCCCTTGATCAGAAATCCTTCTGGGAAACGAAGTGCAAAAGTCTCAAGGAAGGATGCCCAAGAAGCAACTGCGGAAAAGGCAAGCAGCACCCCCAGGAGCATGGGAACCGACCTGTAGTGCTGGGAAGGGGCTCCACCCTTCTTAAGGGGGCTGGGACCCACGGGGACGAGGAGTATAAGAGCACTTAAGAATCTAACTTTACTTATCATTGAAGACTTTGGACATGATCTCAGGCACCTTGAAGCCAACCTACGTGTAAATTCACTGGTGGCAGGAAACAACTAAACATTATCCCGTTTCCTCTGAAATGGAGAGTTAAAGTCATTTTGTAAGTTTTGGTCAGGAACCAAAATAAGTCAGAACCCTCACTGGCAATGTGGAGAGATTTTTCACAGGCCTGAGGCAACTGCACGAGGGAAACGTTCCCCTAGAAAAGGCTCTTCCTGTGGTTACCAAACCTCTTTGCAGTGCAAAAAACACAGGTTCCATCCCTGTTCTGGGAAGAAACTAAGCCCTTGCACCTCAACTACTGATCCAGCAGTGCTCTACTGATCCACCTCAAGTACTGATCCAGCCAGAGGGATGCACCGACTGAGCCTATTTGCAGCAACTCCTGAAGCCCAGGTGCCTAGAGCCTTGCTCCACAAGAGAAGCCTCCAAAAGGAGAAGCACCAGCACTGCAGCTGGAGAGTCTGCTCTCTGTGCCACAACTGAAAGAAGCCCGTGAGCAGCAAAAAAAGACCCAACTACAGCCAAAAAATTTTTTAATGAAAGATGTATTCTGAGAAGTTATTTAATGACATATCTAGAATTATACATTACACAAATACAAAAAATGTTGTACACTTTAAATACATGCAATTTATTGTAAGTCAACTCCACATCCATGACGCCATTCTTAAATCAAATATACAAAACTTTTCTTTTTATAATCATTCTGCTATGGTTTATGAACTACATTCTTTCTCTTTTTTTTTTTCTACATTCTTAAAATCATTTGTGGCTACTATACCTGTAATGGTACATAAAGAAGACATTGGTGGGCTATTGACAATGTTTCCCAGCTCCAGGGACATTATGTTGGCAACTTGATTTTGGCTATGGTGGGAATATTTACACCACAGAAATTGGCAGGCACTACAAACCATAGACTAATCTACTATGTAATGAAAGTCTGGACTTAAGACTGAGGTAGCATATGTCAATAATTTAGATTTATCCTAAACATGTATAATGTATATGGCCATTGCACTATGCAAAGTATAAAATTGAGAAAAATTGAGAACATATTCTTTCAGTATTCCAGATTATAATTACATTGAGAAAAGAAGTCACTGACTTTGGTCACCATTGGTGAATGGGTGAAATCTCACAGATGCCTTTGATGTTTGGCTGATCTCCTACTTGTCAAGAAAAAAAAAACCCAAATCTAACAAAATAAAGGAAGACAAAATATACAAATAGAAATTCATCCAAACAAGATACACAAGTTAAAAAAAAATAGACACATGAAAAAGAAACAAAACTCAAATCAAGAATCCTGAGAGAAATGCAATTAAAATGATTTCACAGTGGGTTTTACAGTCTTCATTGGAAGTGTCTGCATGCATTCAGTCTTAGCTTTTAAGCTAGGTTGCTCAAGTGTAGGTCCCAAAGAGAGGTGGGTAAGTTCTTGTTAATTAAAATCATTAGCTGGTGACTTACATTTTTCAGGGAGTGGTGGTAGAAAGCAGTGAGGCAAGGGGTGAAGGGGTTAGGAAGAAGAGCCTTGTGCACCAGGCCATGTGAGGGCCACAATTAGCCTCTCAGAGTCCCTCACAACTCCCAGAACAGTTAAGTGGGTCAACTGCATAACAGGGCAACACGGACACCTGATGTGAGTGTATGAAAAGATGAACAGGATATCTGAAACCAATCACTGCACATGGTGGTGAAGCCAGGGCCAAGTGTGCGGTGACACCAACGACCCAGTCTGGAGTGCCTGCCTTAGTGCTGCTCTCCCAGTGAAGAACTTCCCGAACAGGAGTGTTTATAGGAAGGAGATGTGCACTAGGGGGGCCTGGTGGAAATAAAAATGTCAGGTGTGGGTAGTTCATGTGAGTAGTTCACAGCAAATGGAGGCCCTGCTCTGAGAGCCAGAAGAGATGCCAGTTCACATGTGCAGTGTAGAGGAGTTGCCCTCATGCAAGGTCTGGCAGTAGTGAGCTCTTGTGGAAGTTTCTCTGCCTCTCTAAGCTGGACACCTCTTCTTTCACAAATGGCAAATAATAATAATAGAATCCCAGCATTAGTTTTGTTGGGTAGATAAATGTCATTCACGTGAAAGGCATCAATGTTGGATGCCAGAGAAAAAGATACTCCTGTCTGTCAGTATGGGGCTGAGGAATGAGCAGGACTCGGGGCAGGAGGATTAAGGAGGGAAGAAATATCAGGATAATCAAGGTGTTCTTTAGTCCCCAAACCTGAGGGTAGAGTGGGGCAGGGGGTAAGGAGTGAAGTGACCAGACTCTTCAAACCCTGAACCAGGCAACCTGACACTGAATCCCAGATCCCTGTTCATTGCTGGGAGATCACAAGCAAATGACACATTCTTTGTCTCAGTTTCCACAAAAGAGAGGATCCATTTGATGCACGGTAACTACATTATTTTTTCCCACCATTACCATCTCAAACAACTCCAACATCACTGCTGTCCACATTTGCTATATTCATAAGGCCCTTTCTCCCATGTGAACTCTGATATTTTCTCAAGTGGCACCTTTGGATAAGACTTATCACAATCTTAGCTCTCATAAAGTTTTTCTGCAATGTGAATTTTCCTTTGGATATGGAGAAGCTGTATTTTAGTAAATGATTCCCCAAATTCACTGCACTCAAAGAGGTCTTTCTCCAGTGTGAACTCTCTGATGACGACGAAGGCTTGACTTATCAATAAAAGATTTCCCACATTCACTGCACTCATAAGGTCTTTCTCCACTGTGAACTCTCCAATGATAATGAAGGCTGGAAATACCAGAAAATAATTTCCCACACTGACAGCACGCATAAGGCCTTTCTCCACTGTGAACTCTCTCATGATGACGAAGGCTGGAGCTACCAGTAAAAGATTTCCCACATTCACTGCATTCATAAGGCCTTTCTCCACTGTGAACTCTCTCATGATACCGGAGCCCAGTCCTAGCAGCAAAAGATCTCCCACATTCACTGCACTTGTAAGGCCTTTCTCCAGTGTGAACTCTCCGATGATAACGAAGGCTGGAGCTACCAGTAAAAGATTTCCAACATTTATTGCATTCATAAGGTCTTTCTCCAGTGTGAACTCTCCGATGATGTCGAAGACTGGAGCTACTAGTAAAAGATTTCTCACATTTATTGCACTCATAAGGCTTTTCTCCAGTGTGAACATTCTTATGGTCACTGAGTTGCTCATTTCGACTAAAGAATTTCCCACATTCGCTGCACTCAAAAGGTCTTTCTCCACTGTGTACTCTCTGATGATTACAAAGCATAGATCTAGTAGTAAAACATTTCCCACATTCATTGCACTCATAAGGCTTTTCTCCAGTGTGAAGTCTCAGATGATAAGAGAGGGATGACCTATTAGTAAGAGATTTCCCACATTCACTGCACTCATAAGGCCTTTCTCCAGTGTGAACTCTTTGATGTGCAAGGCAACTGGATTTATGGGCAAAAAATTTTCCACATTGGCTGCATTGATAAGGTTTTTCTCCAGTGTGAACTCTCTGATGTTCAATTAAGTTGAACTTTTGGGTGAAAGATTTATTACACTGTTTGCATTCATAAGAGTTTTCACCACTGTGGATTTTCCTATGGGCAGTGAGGTTCTTCCTTCGGCTAAAGGATTTCCCACATTCACTGCAATCATAAAGCCTTGCTACACAGCGAACTCTCTGATGGGCAAGGAAACGGAATCTGTGGCTAAAAAATTTTCCACATTGGCTGCATTCATAAGGCCTCTCCTCAGTGTGAACTTTCTGGTGTTGAATAAGGTTAATTTTTTGAGTGCTGGCTTTCCTATGTTTGCTGAACTCACAAAACCCTTCACTAGCAAGGACTCCCTCATCCTCAACAAGTATGTCTGTGTGGCTGGAGGCTATCTTGCCTTCTTTCCAGCCCTGATGACTTTTTCCACTGTGAAAAACAGCTTCACACTCCTTACTGTTGTTTTGTTTCTCCCTGGTGCTAGTGTCCTGTTGCTGAAGTTCCATGTTGGCCACAAAGTTGTTTGCTATCTCCATGTTGGGAGAGAGATTTTCTCTTGCATGTATCATGCAGCTCTTCAAAAATGTGGGGCTCCCCATACCAAACTGGAAGGATTTCTGTCCAATGTGCTGTATCTGGTGCTGTTGAATGTTTGCAGTGAAAAAGAATTGTTTCCCGCATGCCCCACATGTGTATGCTTTCTGTCCACTATTATTAATATTTCTTTGCTCTTCAGTCAAATGTGAAATGTCTCTCAAAACTGGGGTACATATCTTACAGGGCTGGACATTCTCAGGAGATGAACCTGCCCTGGGAGTGCTAATCTGTGACACTCCTTCTGCAGATTCGCTCTGTTCAGAAGGTGTCTCTCCATCCTGGGTTCCACACCAAAAACCTGAAAACACAGAAGTGATGGTGAAGTTCTTGTTGACTTTATTGGAGGGAATGACACACAATTGTACATGACACGTGAAAGCAGCAGTCCATAAAATTGTGTTCAGGATATGAAGCTGGAGTCAAATTGAGGAAGCAGCTCCTCTCACCATGTCCAGGACACAAAGACTGGATGTGACCCAAGGTGAAAGGGATGTCTACAAATCACTCCTCTATCAATAGCTTTTACGAGGACCATATCTGCTGGTGACCTGTGACTGTTCAGAAGTATACTATACACCCAGGCTCCAGGAAATGTGACTACAACAGGCAGCTGGTGTTTAACAGATTAGTTGCCAGAGAGCAACTAAGCCCATCTACTACTACTACCAAGCCTGAGCTCTAGAGCCTGTGAGCCCCAACTACTGAGCCAATGTGCACGGAGCCTATGCTTTGCAACAAGATAATCCATAGCAATGAAAAGCACACACACCACAAGGAACAGTAGCTCCCGCTCACTGCAACTAAGGAAACCCCACGCAAAGCAATGAAGATCCAGTGTACCCAAGAAATAAAAAATAAAAATGAAAACAAAATTAAAAAAAAAAAAAATAAGGTGTTCAGGGACTTCCCTGGCGACCCACTGGCTGAGATTCTACACTCCCAACATAGTGAGCCGGGGTTCGATCCCTGCTTGGGGAACTAGATACGACATGCTGCAAACTAAAGATCCTGCAAGCTGCAATGAAGACTGAAGATTCCAAGTCCTGCAACTATGAACCAGCACAGCCAAATATGCAAACTACCCAGGAAGCCATAGTGTTATATGGAATTAGACATCTATTAGTTGTAAATGCATAGTAAAAACTCTTATCTTCTTGCTCTAGCCCCAGCTAGTGATGGTTTTTCTAACTTCTAAACACTGACAGTACGTCAAAGAGGCTGGGAGTGGTGTGCTCTTCTGCTGGTTTCCATGAGAACCAATGAGTCAACCTCACATCAGTCCCCCCTAAAGCAGGTAACCTCCCTCTCATCCCCAGTAAAAAAAAAAAAAAAGACTGCTGCCACATCCTGCCTGCTGTCTGTGGACCATGGTAGATGTGTTTCTTCAGGACCTTGCTTTGGGTGAGATCCCCTGTCCATTAAACCACTGTTGTCTCTGGGCTCTTTGGTCTTGAAGCTGGGCAACTGTAAGGTTTTTCAATCTGTGTGTGCACTCAGTTGCTTCAGTAGTGTCTGACTCTTTGCAACCCTATGGACTGTAGCCCGCCAGGCTCCTCTGCTCATGGAATTTTCCAGGAAAGAATACCGGAGTCAGTTGCCACTCCCTTCTCCAGGACATCTTCCTAACCCAGGGATCAAACCGGGGTCTCCTACATTGGTAGGCATATTCTTTACAGTCTGAGCCACCAGGGAAGCCCTATTCTTCAATATACACTGCAACTTCAAATGAATGAAATATGAAAATGGTGACTGTTAATAAAGGTGTACCTCAGTATACAAACTTGTGAAAAAGAATGTGAAAAGGCTCAGGAATAAAAACAAAGTTTGGGGCATTCCTGATGGCCCACTGGTTAAGAATCCACCTTGCAATACATGGAACACCCATTTGATCCCTGGTCTGAGAAGATGCTACATGCCCACACTCTAGAGACCGCAACCCACAAGTACCGAAACCCTCGAGCCCTACAGCCTGCGCTTGGCAACAAGAGAGCCACCATGAGAAGCCCTCACACTGCAATGAAGGGTAGACCCTGCTCTTCTCCTAGAGATAGCCAATGTGCAACAACAATGACCAACCAAAAAAATTAATAAATAAATCTTAAAAAGACAAACACAAAGCTTGCACCATGGTATACTTTTTCTTGTTTTTTAATTTTTATTGGAGTATAGTTGATTCATAAGTTAAACATATATCCACTCTTTTTATATTTTCATATAGGTTACTACAGAATACTGAATAAAGTTCCCTGTGTTATACAGTGAGTTATTAGCTATCTATTTTACATTTAATACTGTGTATATGTTAATCCCAATCTCTCAATTTCTCCCCTGCTTCCCACCCTGTTTCTCCTTTGTAAATAAGTTCATCTGTACCAAGGCCTCACATAATTGGTATCATATACTTGTCTTTCTCTGACTTACTTCACTCAATATGACAACACATAACGCTGCCGATGGCATTATTTCATTATTTTTAATGCCTGAGTAATATTCCATTATATGTATACCACATGTTCTTTATCCACTCTTCTGTCGATGGACATTTAGGTTGCTTCCATGTCCTGGCTATCGTAAATAGCTCTGCAATGAACAAAGGGAATGGGGTGCAAGTATCTTTTCAAATTATGGTTTTCTCTGTAATACATGCTGAGGAGTGGGGTTAGTGGATCATAGGGTAGTTGTAAACATAGTTCTGTAAGGAACCCCTATGCTGTTCCTCATAATGGTTACATCAATTTACATTCCCACCAACAGAGCAGAAGGCTTCCTGCAGCATGGTATGTTTTACTCTTTCTGCACATGGCTGCACCCCTCAACTAGACATATATATTCAGATACAAGGTGGTTTTTGTTTCATAAAAGTAAAATCATATTTGGTATACAGATGTGTGTGTGTGTATAAGACATCTATGTATCTTCATTTATCAAGCTGCCTTCTTCCTTTAGGGCCTGCTTTATTGTCCCTTGCCTATATGCACCACACAGTCTGGCTCTGGGCCACCACTGGCACCTCGGTCCCTGCAGGGTCCCTCCACCAGGGCAGAGAAACTGCCTGCAGGTCCCCAGGGAACTCTCTGTGCAAGTCAGGAGGCCCCTTTCTGTCCTCCTGCAAGCTGTCTCTGCCTCTGGGCAGAGATCAAGTAACTAAAGGTGAGGAGAGGTGGGAGAGGGGCATGGTTCAAGACCATGGTGTCCCCAGGAATCCAGGAAGATGAAATCAGGGCCACTTGATTGGGTGGCTTCCTGTCCTGGGGGACCTTCCAGAGGATGTGTTGGCTACAGTGCAGAGGGCACAGCCCTGAAGCTGGCTCCCCACACTGGGACTCTGGAGGCAGCAGAATCCCAGGGAGAACTGAGCCCCTCGAAAGTGGGCAAAGCTCCTTTTCTTTCTTGCTCTTCTTGGTGCAGCCTCTGGACCCAATTGGAGGGGGGTACTCAATGCTTGACCTGGGGGTGCACACCTGGGCAGGAGCCAGGGCCACAGTGGTGAAAAGGCAGGGCTCAGCTTAGGGCAAACACTCTGAATTTTGTGTCTAGGATCCAGTCACTACTCCACAGCCTGAGTGAGGGAGGGGGATACTGCCTATGGGATGAGAGAGGGGTCTCAGTCTAGGGGTCATTCCTAAATAGCCTTCCTGGGGAACCACCAATGCCAGATGTCTCCGGGAGTCTGCAGCGGCCCCATTCCCCACTCTGTACCCCACCTGGTTCGCCTCCTTTCTCATCGTCCCCTCTGAGGGGGAAAGGGGCCAGGAAGGAAAAGTCCTCATCAACCTCCATGTGGAAGAGGGGAGCAGGAAGAGTTTCAGTGGACTAACCTTCATGGGGTTCCCCCTACATCCCTGGGCTCTGGTCTACCTGAAAAGCCCAAATAAGAATCCAGAGGCCCACAGTGATCCCGAACCCCTGTCCAGGTCTTCTCCCATTCAGGGGTGTCTGGAAAAGAAACCCCAAGAAGCGGGGAAAAACAAGGAGGTAAAGAGCTGTTGGAGACCAACAGTCAACAGTTACAGAAAGGAACAGATGTAAATCACTTGGGGGGACTTTCCTGGTGGTCCAGTGGTTAAGACTCCACACTTCCACTGCAGAGGGCATAGGTTCAATCCCTGGTGAGGGGACTAAGATCCCATTTTAAGGCCAAAATATAGAGGGGAAAGAAAGAAAATCACTTGTAAGAGAGTGGAGGGGGTCAGAACCCCTTACAATGTAACTGGTGGGATCACTGCCACTTCCCTGGAAGAATCAACTCACAGGGGGAGAGTCTGTGTGCTGCCTGGATGGGTGTGTGTATTGTGGGGGGTCTTTCCTAACCCTTTTTCTTGTTGACCTTGTTGAATTCAGGACACAGTACCTCAAAAATTGGCCCCTTGGCATACTGGATAACTCAAGCTCGAAGAGGTGAAAAAAACCCATTGAATTAGGGAAGTTCACTCTGACTTCCCCTCATTCCTACCTCCCATCACCCCCACATCTTGCTTCCCTAAAAGTAGATAAATTTCCCAGGTGAAAGTTCCTTCTCTGTACCAGGGGGTACATTCTAACCACTAGAGACAGAGAATTCACAGTGGAGAAAACTGTATTAACATACCTTGTTACTTTTTCACCAATTTACTACCTATAGCCAAAACCCCTAGTTTTTGTCATTTTTAAAAGTTAATTTTTTTGGTCTAAATGTATAAAACAAACATTCCCACTCTTGTCAGTTCTTCAGGTTTTCATTCTCATGTGAAGGTGCTGATGTATGTGTAAAAATTCAGTAACATTTATATGCTTTTCTCCTCTTTAATTTTAGTTTTAGTTTTAGTTTAATTTTCAGACCTAACCATGTTCTGACCCATTTTTTGTGTGTGTGTAAAACACATTCATACCATTTAACTCAAGCAAAAGGGAAGCTTTTTCCTTTTTTCCTCTTCAGAAAAAGAGGAAACTGGATTGGAGAGAACTTACCCAGTTTTGCTACAATCCCTCAGTTTGATCACCACTCATTTATTATTTTACCTATACATTCAGCACTTTCTGCCCTTTTTACTGAGACACCTGTAAACCACCTCCACTTACTAGGTCTCAAGTTAAATGGTAGCCCCTCTGTTCTTAATCTATGCTGAGACAAGAAATATGTAAACAAAATGACGTTATTTCTCACCATTCCTTCCTATATATAGCTACAGAATGGGACACAATGAAACAATGCCTACAGAAGAAAAGAAAATCACAAACTATAATTTCTATATACAGCAAACATGTCAACAAACTTGTCATTCAAGAATGGATGCAACAAAATGATTGGAAGTGAGAAAATTAATTCAAAATTAACACATATAAAGGAAAGCTGAGGTTCTATTTAAAGAGAGTGGAAAAGAGACTATAATTCCAGTTCAAGAATCACTGGTGCTAGAAAGGAATGATGATTTGAGAAATACATCTGAATCTTGACACACATGTCATTAACTGTGTAAGGTATGAAAAATATTTGCCTAGAGATTTAGAATGAAAGAATTCTTATGCATAGCTGGAAGAACATATATTCCTATGGAATAAATGAATCAATATTTGATACTCCTTGTAATGTCTAGAAGTATTTGTAATTGTGCTGTAATGTGTTAAAATTTTTAGTTTAATAAACAAACTAAATTTGAAATAATAAAATTTAAAATTGTTTTAATGAGAAGATAAAAAACAAGGGGTAGGAAAAAAAATCCACAAAAATAACAAGATGTATTTAAACCCAAATATATCAACTATTACAGTAACTGGTTTGAAATAAACATTCAAAGTAGTGGGTAAATACTTTTTGATAGCTGTAAACGTCCTTGGAAAAGGATTTGATTTTCATCAAGTGATGTTCAAGAGCATGTTTTGAATTTCTATTCAAAGAACAACTAATGGTGCATAGGCGACTCAAACACCTACAGCTACAGATGCTACAAATACACATGACCGCCTGACAAGTCTTCCTATAAAGTCTCATCTAATCTTGGCAGGCTGAAGGAAAACAAGGCCATGAAAAATTCAACTACCCAAATACCCATCATGGGGTCAGGAGCAGGCCTGCCTATTCTGTGTCTCAAAATTTAAATATAAGAAACTGAGGTAAGACAGAGGTAGGATCCAACAGTTATTTCATTTATATATACATTTGAAAACAGTCATTACAAAAGTAGAATATGCTCTTGTATCATAATGTTGAGAATGAATTAAAACTGGCAGGAGGAAACCATTTTCAGAGGTATACACAAGTATCACAAAGTTAAAATGTACATTTTAAAATAGGTGCAGTTTATTGTAAGTCAACTCCACATTCATTAAATGATTTTTAAAACAAATATGCAAAACCTATCTCTTTAAAAAATCATCCTGGGGCTTCCCTGGTGGTCAAGTGGTTAAGAATCTGCCTGCCAATGCAGGAGACACAAGTTCAATTCCTAGTCCGGTAAGATCCCACATGCCATGGGGAAACTAAGCCCATGCACAAAAACTGCTGAGCCAGCCCTCTAGAGCACATGGGCCACAACTACTGAAACCCATGTGTTCTAGGCCCTGCAAGCTGCAACTACCAAAGGCCACACTCTCTAGAGACAGTGCTCCACAACAGAAGCCACTGCAATGAGAAGCCTGCACACAGCAACAAGGGTAGCTCCCACTGAATGCAACTAGAGAAAGCCTGTGGGCAAGAAAGATACAGCACAGACAAAAATAAATTTAAAAAAAAATCATTCTACTATGGCTTTATTAGCTACATTCTTAAGTGGCTGTATCTGTATGATAGAAAAAAACACACACACAATGGTGGGCTACTGGCAATGCTTCCCAACTCCATGTTCAGTGACATTATGTTCTCAGTGTGACTATTCGCTATGATGAGAGTATATACACCAGGAAAATTGGCAAACACTACAAATCACGGCTTAATTTACTATATGATTCAACGTCTGGACTTAAGATTGAGGTAGCATATGTTAACAAGGCAGATTTATTTAAACCCTTTATAATGTATGGGGCCATTACATTATGCATAGAAAAAAAAAAGTGAGGAAAACAAAAAAGCACTCTTTTAGTACTCTAAATTACAATTCCATGCAGAAGTCATTCACATTATTGGTGAATGAATGAAATATCACAAATGTCTTTGTTTCCCCAATCCAATATTTGTCAAGGAAAGAGAAAATGGCCAAATCATATGAAATAAAATACTCAAAAGAACAGAAATTTAACCAAACAAGAGATACAGGTACAAAACAGACACATGGAGAGGAAAAAAAAAAAAAAAGCTCAACATTAATAATTCTGAAGGAAATGAGATTTAAATTATAATTCTAAATGAGGTTTTACAGTCTTCATTAAAGGGTTTGGCCTGCATTCAGTCTTAGTTTTTAAGATAGGTAGGTCAAGTGTGGGTTCCAAGATGGGGGAGGGCAAGTTCTTGCTAATTAACAATCACCATTTTAGTGAGTTACATTTTTCTGGAGGGGTGGGAAGAGCAGTGAGATGATGGGTAAAGGGGTTAGGAAGAGGAGCCTTGGGGATGAGGCCTTGTGAGGCCCACCGAAGACATTCTTAGTCATTCAGTGTCCCTCACACTGTCCAGAAAGGTAAGTGGGTAAACCGAGTGATGGGGAAACAAGGACAATGATCCTTTCCAGGCTGTCTGGTTTCACGCTGCTGTCCCTGCGAAGAATTTATCTCAGGAGGACGTTTGCAGGAAGGAGATGTACACTGGGAGAGGAAGAGCTCAGAGCCCTGCCAGGTGTGGACAGTCCCTGCTCCTCGGGACAGAAGAGAAGCCAGTGGACATGTGCAGTGTAGAAGAATCATACGTATGAATGGCCTGGCAGTAGTGAGCTATTATGGAAGTCCCTCTACCTCTCCAAGTTAGACATCTCAAATGGCAATAATGTTGAATGCCACAGAAAAGAAACTACTGTACATCAGAAAGGGACTGGGGTATGAGCAGAGAGATTCTGGTGGGGATGGAGCAGGGCAGAAGTATGAGGATGGATAAGGTGTTCTTTCAGTCCTCAAAATTGATGGGGTGGGTGGAAGAGGACTGAGGTGAACAGACGGCTCATGTCCTGAACAAGATAGCCTGGCACTGAATCCATATCCATGTCCATTGCTGGGAGATCACAAATAGATGACACATAATTTCTATGCTCAGTTTCCTCCCTACAAAGGGGCCATTTGCTGCACAGTGACTGCACAAGTACTTCCCACCCTGTTACCACCTCAAACTCCGCCAACGTCAGTACCATATATATTTGATATACTCACGAGGCCCCTTACAGTATGAAACTTTTAGATGTTTAAACAAGTGGAATTTGTTGGTGAAAGATTTATCACATTCCTTCACTCAAAGGCTTTTCTCCAGTGAGGATTTTCCCGTGGATATGCAGAAGCTGTCTCTGGCTAAAGGATTACCCAGATTTACTTCACTCAAAAGTCCTTTCAACAGTGTGACCTCTCTGATGATGACGAAGGCTTGACCTAGCAGGAAAAGATTTCCCACATTTACTACAGTCATACGGTTTTTCTCCACTGTGAACACTGATATGGGCACTGAGTTGTTCGTTTCGGCTGAAGAACTTCCCACATTCACTGCACTTGAAAGGTCTTTCTGCACTGTGTACTCTCTGATGGTTACAAAGGATCCACTTACTAGTAAAAGATTTCCCACATTCAGTGCGCTCAAAAGGCCGTTCTCCAGTGTGAACTTTCAGATGAGAATAGAGGGCAGACCTAGTAATAAAAGATTTCCCACATTCACTGCATTTATAAGGCCTTTCCCCACTATGAACTCTCTGATGTACAGACAAACTAGATTTGCTGACAAGAAACTTCCCACATTGGTTGCACTGATAAGGCTTTTCTCCAGTGTGAACTCTCTGATGTTCAATTAAGTTGCCTTTTCGGATAAAAGATTTATCACATTTCTTGCACTCAAAAGGCTTTTCTCCAGTGTGGATTTTTCTATGGGCAAGGAGATATTTCCTTCGGCTAAAGGATTTCCCACACTCACTACAATCATAAAACGTTCCTCCACAGTTAAATCTCTGATGTGCAAGGAAACCGGACTTGTGGGTAAAACATTTTCCACAATGGCTGCATTCAAAAGACCTTTCTCCAGTGTGAACTTTCTGGTGCTGAGTAACACTATTTCTTTGGGTGCCAGCATTCCTAACTTTGTTAGACTCACAAGACCCTTCAGTAGTGAGAATTCTCTCATTCTGAACAAGTATGTCTGTGTGGTTGGAGGCCATCTTGCCTTCTCCCCAGTTCTGATGGCTTCTGTCACTGTGAAAAATAGCTTCACACTCCTTACTGTTGTTCAGTTTCTTCCTGGTATTAGTGGCCTGTGTCTGAAATACCATGTTGGCCTTGAAGTCATTCCCAATCTCCATGTTGGCAGAGAGATTCCCTGTTGCATGGATTGTGCAGCTTTTCAAAAGTGAGGATCTCACCACATCATACTGAAAGGGTTTCTCTCTAATGTATTGCTTCTGGTGCTGTTGAATGTTTGCAGTAAAATAGAATTCTTTCCCACATGCCCTACATAAGTATGCTTTCTGTGTCCTAATTGTTCCTTCCTCTTCAGACAAATGCAAAATGTCTCTCAAGACTGGGACACATATCTTACAGGGCTGGGCCTTTTCAGGGGACAAAATGGCCCTTGGAGTCGTAATCTGTGAGACTCCTTCTGCAGATTCACTCTGTTCAGAAGGTGTCTCTTCATCCTGGACTCCACGCCAAGAACCTGAAAACAAACAAGTGATGGTGAAGTTTTGGTTAACTTTCTTGAAGGGAATGACACCATCACAATTGTACATCTGCCACATGAAAGAAGTAGTAGATACAATCATGTTCAGGACATGAAGTTGGAGTCAAATTGAGAAAGCAGCTGTTCTCATCAAGCACAGGACATAAGGACTGGATGTGACCCAAGGTGAAAGGCATGCTTTACAATTCACTCCTCTGTTAATGGCTTTTACCAAGACCATATCTGCCAGTGGCTGGGGACACTGTGCAGAAGTATACTGAACATGAGTGCCCCAGAATATCTGGCTGCAACAAGTGGCTGGTGTTCAAGAAATAGTAAAGCATGCATGCAAGTTTAAGGACATAAAAAATTCTGTCAATAAGTACCACAAGGGAAACAAGTGTGAAGCCCACATGAGATAAGTGGTTTATAGAGGAGAGAAGCAATGAAACCCAGGCTACAGTCAGACTAAAAATTGGGAAGTAGCAGAAATGACAAGCTTGCAGAATGTCAGGAATAGAGAAAGACGAGAGAAGTCATTTGTAGCCACTTGCTATAGCACTACAACACTAGTCCAAGGATGGAAGTCATATCTTCCTGGTATGACTTGAATACAGACCTGATATCAAGCCCTTCCCCCCTTGCCATTCATCTTGGTCAGAGAATCTCCAAGCTCTTTTGCTGAGACCAGAGTCATGTCCAACCTGTGAAGCCCAAAGGACTCCCATTCCCAGTTGAATAACAACATGGGTTACAAATGATATAAGTCCTAACTGATACAAGTCCTAACTGCAATCTAGTTAACTACAACCACTATGCTGTACATTATATCCTCAGGACCTATTCACCTTAAAACTAGAAGTCTGTAACTTCCAACACCCTTCAGACATTTCACCTACCCTCACTCTGGCAATCACTAATCCTTTGTCTATATCAGAGTTTGGTGGCGGTGTTATTTTAAAGATTCATTGTATATGTATAATCACATACAACAAATAAACACAGAACAACATGGATTACAAAAGATTGGGTCCTCTCGTACATGGCTGTTTTTCAATAAATTTACACAGCATTACATGATCTGTAGTTAGATGAATCTACAAGTGTGAAAATTTCAGAATCAGTGGTTTCAGAATCCACAGATATGAGTATTAGCACGTATGCTGGGACCAAAGCTCTGAGGAAACAGGAAGAACTGTATCTGTCTTTCTCTGACCTATTTCACTCAGCATAATGCCCTCAAGGTCCTCCCATCCAGTTGCAAATGGCAATACTGCCTTGTTTCCATCTCTTGGATAGGGTAAAATAATGCCACAATAAACATGGGGTACATTTCACTCCCTCTGGATAAATACGCAGAGTTGGAATTGCTGGATCATACTGTAGTTCCTTATTTAATATTGTAGGGATTCTCCATGCTCTGTTCTACAGTGCCTGCAACAATGTACATTCACCCCAAGTATGCACAAGATGTCCCCTTACTTCACATCTTCCTCAGCATTATTTCTTTTCTTTTCCTAACAGACACTATAACAGGTGTGAGGTATCTGTGAGGTATCTCGATGCCATTTTAATTTTGCATTTTCCTGGCCATTAGTGGCATTGAGTTTTTTTTACATACAAGATTCCCATTTGCATGTCTTATTTGGAAAAATGTCTTCTCAGCTCTAACAGATACTAGCTTATTTGAACTGGTCCATAGCAGTGAAAGCCCAGAGTCCTATTCACTAGGCAACCACAGAACCTCAGTAAGTATATTTTTAAATTATGACGTAGGAATTCCCTGGTGTTTCAGGGGCTAGGACCCCACACTTTCACTGCCAGGGACCCAGGTTCAACGCCTGGTCAGGGAACTAAGATCCCGCAAGACTGACAGAGCAGGGCGTCGGGGGGTGGGGGCGGGATATATATATAAACTACCCACAAAGCCATACAGCATTATATGGGAGGAGAATTAAATTCTTTCTAAACACATAATGCAAATTTTAGCATAACTAAATTTTAGAAAAGAAGCAAATAGGGCTGATAAGCTAATAAAGGTGAGAAAATAAAATCATACAAAATGCTCAATTAACACCACAGAAAGAAGGAGTGGTAGACTAACAAATGAACAAAGAACAAGGGCAGGGCTTCCCCAGTGGCTCAGGGATAAAGCTTCAGGCTGCCAGTGCAGAAGACTTGGGTTCAATCCTTGGCCTGGGAAGCTGCCACGTGGGTGAGGCAACTAAGCCGGTGAGTCACACCCGGCGAGCCTGTGCTCTGGCGTCCAGGAGCCGCAACTACTGAGGCCAAACGCTCTCAAGCCCGCGCTCCTCAACAAGAGGTGCCACCACAGTGAGAGGCCCAAGCACCTCAACTAGACTAACTCCACTTGCCGCAACTAAAGAGACGCATACACATCAATAAAGACCCACAAATAGCCAACCAGATTTCACCGAAGCAAGGCTATCATGAGTAAAGAAAACGACACAGTGGCAAAGGGGTCAACGTCCCCAAATCATCAACTGACAGGATATATGGACTTCTGTAGACTACTAGTCTACTCCACCTAACAGCAGAATAGTCTTAATCTGACATGAAACAGTCACAAGACAGAGCACGTCATGGGCCAGAAAACACAGCCTAGCAAATTTCAAACAACAGAATTCATACAATGTCTGTTCTCAGAGCATGGTGAAATTATACTAGAAACTATAACAAAAAGATAGCTGGAAAATCACACAATACTGAGAAATTAATCCAAATAAAACATGGGTCAAAGAAGAAATATCAAGATTAATTTTTAAGTATTTTAAAATAAACACAACACTTCTTGAAATATGTGTGTGCAGTGAAGGCATTGTTTTAGGGCAATATATAGCATTGAATGACTGTATTAGAAAAGAAGAAAGGTCTACTAGCAATCATCTTAGGAAACTAGAAAAGGAGAAGATTAAATCCAAAGGAAGAAGAAAAGAAATAACTTAAAAAATCAACAAAGAAAAACCAACAAAGTCAAAGCTGGTTCCTTAAAATGGACATTAAAGGATAATAATGAAATAAATGGGAATCTCCAAGATCATAAATGTGATAACTTAAATGAAATGGACAGTTTCTTGAAAAATACACTCTACCAAAACCAACAGAAGTATATACGCTCTAAATAGGTATACATCTGTTAAAGTAGCTGAATCAATAAGGAATAACCTTCCAAAACAGAATGCAACTGGCCCAGATTGGTTAACTGGTGAAATATGACAAACACTTCAGGAAGATACACAATTCTCTACAACGACTTTCAGAAGACAGAACAAAAGGACTGCTCCTGACTAATTCTGTGAGGCTAACATTAACACCAAACCAAAGACACGAAGAATAAAGTATAGGTTTCAGGGGAAAAAAAAGAATAAAGTATATATACACCAATATCTCTCATGAACACAGATGCAAAAATACAAAGTTATCACTGAATTGACTCAAAAACTACATAAAAAGAATTACACATCATGACCAAGTGGGATTAAGGAATGGTATGTAAGACGTATTTCACACATTATTATGATAACTACAGCACATTAATAACATAAAGACAGATATATACTCCAGTGAAACAGAACAGAGACTTGAGGTTCTATATATCAACTCTCATGACGTGTGATCCAATAATTACTGACAAGACCAATACCATTCAATGAGGAGAGCCTTTTCAACAAATAGGTTGTTAGGTACTTCTCTGGTGGCTCAGGAATGCGGGAGACCCGGGTTCAATCCCTGGGTAGGGAAGATCTCCTGGAGAAGGAAATGGCAACCCACTCCAGCATTCTAGCCTGGAAAATCTGATGGACGGAGAAGCCTGGTAGGCTATATAGTCCATGGGGTCGCAAAGAGTCGGATACGACTGAGCAACTTCACTTTCACTTTCTTTTCAACAAATAAAGAGTTGTTAAAACTGGATACCCATATGTACAAGAATGAAGTTAGTGTCTGGTAGCTCAGTTGGTAAAGAATCTACCCATAATGTAGGAGACCCTGGTTCGACTCCTGGGTCAGGAGGATCCCCTGGAGAAGGGATAGACTACCCACTCCGGTATTCTTGGGCTTCCCTGGTGGCTCAGTCAGTAAGACCTGGGTAGGGAAGATCCCCTAGAGAAGGGAACGGCTGGCTACACACTCCAGTCTGGTCTGGAGAATTCCATGGACAGAGGAGCCTGGCAGGTGACAGTTCTTGGGGTTGCTAAAATTACAAAATTTTGAGGTGGGGGAAAAAAAGGGAAAACTTTTC